GTTACAGATGTAACCAAAGAAGAGTGCTAGCAGCGGTCAGAGAGGATGGGGAGTGGAAACCCAAGCCCAAATATGGACTGGCCTCTCTTGGCAGAGATCAATGTGCTATATGTAAAAAGACCGGTCACTGGAAAAGGGAGTGTCCAGAACGACAGCGCCAAGGGAATGCTAGTTGGCGGAATAGCCAAGGAAAAGTGATTGCATATGTAAAAGAAGATTGACTAGCAGATCCACTGGTTGTAATGAGGCTAGGGGAGGAATAAAAGAAAATGGAATTTTTGGTAGACACGGGAGCAACATACTCGATTTTAAATCAAGCCCTGATGCCTTTAGGAAATGATTATATTGTAGTAAAGGGAGTAACTGGCCAGAGTGAGAAGACTTACTTTTTGAGCCTTTAAAATACAAATTGGGTAAACAGGTAGGCATTCATAAATTCTTGTATAAGCCAAACTTCCCGAAAGCCCTTCTGGGAAGAGATCTATTGGAACAATTGGAAGCTACAATAAAATTTAAAAAAGATGAAATTGCTCTGGAGGTAAATGTTCATCAATATGCACAAATAATGAGCTTTTTTTAGTCAATGTTCCCACAGAAGGAAAAATCAACGCAGAAATCACCGACTAGGTATATCCCGGGGTTTGGGCAACTGATGTCCCAGGACATGCCAAGAACACCCAACCGATAATAATAAATTTCAAGGATGGACAGAGAGCACCAGTCAGAAAATTTTTGCTTTCGAGTGGGAAAACCCTAAGAGTGGTCGAAAGACCCAGCTCACATGGACGGTGTTGCCACAAGGTTTCAAAAACAGCCCTACGCTCTTTGGGAACTAATTAGCAAGAGACCTGGAGTCATGGGAACTACCATCGGAAGAAGGAAAGGGGCACCGGGTATCTCAGAAGAAAGCACAAGTGACATTGCAACAGGTTACATACCTCGGGTATGAAATCAGTGCCGGACAGCGTTTCTTGGGAGAGGCCTGGAAGGAAGCCATATGCCAGACCCCCAGACCACAGACTGTGAAAGAACTACGGACCTTTTTAGGAATGACAGGATGGTGCCGGCTGTGGATACACAATTATGGCTTACTTGTCAAATCATTGTATTCCTTGGTCACATCCAGTCAAAAGCACCTCCAGTGGGATGCTGAGTCAAATTGAGCATTCCATCAGCTGAAGAAGGCTCTGATGTCAGCACCAGCACTGGGCCTCCCCAATCTTCTTTTCTCAATGAGAACACTGGAGAGCCAGTGGACCATGACTGTCTTGAGACAATTGAGGCCACGTACTCTAGCCGCACTGACCTCAGAGATGCCCCCATGGATGGAGTAGAACACTGGTTCACAGATGGAAGCAGTTATGTCATAGGTGGAAAACGACATTCTGGGTACGCCGTCACCACTTCTGAAAAGGTAATAGAATCTGGACCATTACCAACTGACACCTCAGTGCAGAAAGCCGAAATCATAACCCTTAGTCGGGCCCTGGAAAAGGCCCAAGGAAAGGCTGTGAATATTTGGACTGATTCTAAATATGCCTTTGGAGTTGTACACGCCCATGGGGCAATATGGAAGGAGAGAGGACTGTTGAATTCCCAGGGGAAGACCATCAAACATGCAGAAGAAATTTTAAAACTCCTGAACGCAGTCCAACTTCATGAAAGAGTGGCGATTATGCACATCAGGGCACACCAGAAAGTGAGCACAGGTTAGAAAGAGAAAACGAGCTGGCGGATAGAGAGACAGAACAGGCTGCTAAAGAAATGGTAAAGGTAAAGGGAGCTCTAATCCCTGATGGACATATATCTTTAGAAGTCTCTTGCAGAGAAAACTTTGGAGCCACAGTGGGAAGGTCCATTTCAGGTGCTGCTAACCACCCACACAGCAGTGAAAATTAAGGAACAAGCATCGTGGAAACATCACACCAGAGTGAAGAAAGCTCCTAGACTACGATGGAAATCCACACCTACTGGACCACTGAAACTCCGGATCCAACGAGAGGATGGACAATAATTATTGTTAGCATTTTTGTACTTATATTAATCAGGAAAAGTGGGATGAAACGGATCTACAGAAATTGTAGGAGAAGAATCAAAGTTTACACCGAGTAGCTCAAGATGATACTTCTTTTGGTGTCTCTGAACTCTGGGAAAAGCTTGCCTCTTGGTTACCCAATTTTGCGTGGCTAAAGCAACTTTTTATTGCATTAATTATGATCATTGTGTTAGGATTCCTAGTTTGCTGTATGTTGCAATGCTTCATGTGGATGTGTAAACAAACCAGCAGCACATATGGAGAATGGAAGAAACATAAGTTAAGGGTGAAAGCGGCAAGTATTTTGCTAAATCCCTTACAGGGAATAGCATTATATAGCAAAAGAATTTGCAAAGGAGAAAAAAAAAGGGGGGACTTGATATGGAAAATAACACTTAGTCGGGCATTGCAACACAGCAAATAGTTTAGCAAAATACTGAAGCTCTGTCACAATCGAGAATCCTATAGATAAGTAGCCATCTAAAGCCATCAAGGTAACAGGAACTTTTACCAGAACTATTGACTGTGAGTAACGACCTTAGAAGGAGCAGATAAGATAATGGGAACTGTTAACGACCATTCTATGATCCGGGGATGAGTCATGTACACCTTTGCATTATAAATTGGTTCTTGTTTTGCCATACGGTGTTAACGTTTGTGGTGGAGCAATCTCCCATGCACCTATGTGTAATAAACATACCTACTTAACAACTTTCTGAGTTGTAGAGTCTATTTCCCCACCTCACCTGTGGTTAGAGAAAGTGGCATTGGAATGAGAAAAGCATTTCATCTTTACAGAGATTTTGACATCCTTTAGTCTTTAATTCTCATCAGACCTCATTAGTTATTTGATCAACTAGGAAACTGAGTCTCACTAAAAAAATCTGGAAAAGAACACATTACTTTAAATGATTAGGGGCTGCTAAACCAGATAGGTCTTACACTGGAAAGCAAACCTTTCAGGAAGTTTGTGGACGGCAAGTTGCTTGTTTTAATCTGGCTGTGTTGCGAATAGACGGGAAATAAAACCGGTCCTAGGGCCGACACCAAATATGCAAGACAGCAAAATTGGGAGGGGGGCACAAATAAGGACAGTTTATTTACAAGGGCAACATTTACAGGTTCTTTTCGATATTGCCTTTGATAAACAAATTGCAGAACTACGGCTTATCTACCAGACAGACCCTACACGTCTGATACCACGAGCTCACAACCAGTCTGTTGTAGCCCAGCTACATGGCACAATAAGCCCGCTAATGCACAAACTGCATTAGGAAGCAAGTACCAAATACACCTGAGGACAAAAATAGTAAAATACACCCAGGACAAAATACCAAATACACTGGGGACGAAACCAACAAAATACACCCGGCACAAAACACCAAATACGCTGGGGACGAAAATATCACTCAGCATAGACTGAAGCAGAGAACCTTACCCACGAGGCGTCCTAAGTGGGGGGGATGGAGAAGGGAGCGAATTCCTCAATCAGTCAGTATGGCATCGAGTCTTCTCCTGTCCCCATTTGGGGTCGAAATTGGGGGCATATTTGTACCCAAGATCTACATTACATCATAGACGTGTAGACATCATGCGGGGATGGCTGCAGACAAGCTTATCACTTATGTTAACGGCACAAAGTCCATCAATTTCTACCATGCATGGGTGGAGGTAACAGCTCGTTTTGTCCAAGGTGGGAAAATGGAAAAATGAGACCACCAGACCTCCACTCAGTTTCACACTCCTTCCAGACATTCAGAGAACACTTAACACCAGATATGGATCTAGTGATAATTATAGCTCTGATTGTCACCTCGCCCTGTTATGGACAAAGAGCTTGCAGGCATCCTCAGACATGTACATGTCTTACCTGACTTGGACTTTGGGGAGGGACTGTACTCTTCTACAGGCTGTTCACCCACTTTTTAACAACATAAGTTTGTGATCAAAAGTTTTTGGCAAGTGTCACACAAAAGAGCTTTGTTAGAAAACTTGGCTTTAGGTCACAGAATTTTGAGGAAATTCTCTTTGGAAGTGTTTCAGAGCATGTGTGGATTGGGGAAGGGAAGGAGAAATGGGTTTTTTTTGAGATAGGCACTGGAAAAACTCATTGTTGCAAGTAAGCGTGGTTATGAGTCAGCAGGACCCAAGCATTGAGACTGTCGCTGCAGTCTTGCTGCTTTTTTTCCCTTCCCCATCCCTGAGGACCTCAGCCCCAAAGGGGTGTGATGTGTGCACAAGGCTGATTTATCAACACAACTATGCAGTTACATCTTTTTTCCCAGCTCCCAGCATGCTTGGATCCTGCCATGCGAGCATCAGAGTGGGAAGCTTTTACAGAAGTGTTTTGTTGGACTCCCTTACACAAAAATGTTTCAGGAACAGTGTGTTCAAAACTCAATCCCTATGCCTGCTACTGGTTTCTACCCAGAAGTCAAGTGGGGTCAATAACTAAACAAGGCGCATTATTCACTGCAGCAGCAATCTTTTCGTGTTCCTCAGCAGATAATTTTCAGGTGGATTCGATGAAACAAATAATAATAAAGTAAAGTTCTTCCTGGGATGAAAGTAAAATTGAGGGAGAGGTATACCTGTGGGGAACACTCCAGCTGTATCACAACGTGTTTCCAGAGGTACAGTGTCTCTTTCTTCCCTATGATAATTCCAGTAATGTAACACAGAATTACAATTCAAGATAAATAATAACAGTGAACTCAAAGTTCATGAAAGCTTCGGGATCTATAACCAAAGACAGTGGCCTCACGTTTATCCATTAAAAAGGTACAGACCAGTGAAAGTTAAGAAAATCCACTAGTGTGCGGCTCCTGGACTGCAAGATAAAACTAGGCAAAATAATTGTTCTTTGTATCATTTATGCCTTGTATGCTAATTATCTTACTCATGTCTCTGATGCATGTTACAAAAGTTGTTTTCTCCTCTTGTTTTCAGGTAATGATAGTTGAAGATGTCAGCTCCCTGGCAAATACGCTGCAATAAAAGATCCAGAACTAAGAAAGGAAGCGCTGAAATGGACAATATGGCAGACAGAAGTGAAAGAATACAGATGGAAAAAAAAATCACATTACTAAATGGAGTTTATTTAATTGTAGGGAACATGATTGCCTCTGGAATATTTGTATCACCCATACCTGTTTTACTGTACAGTGCTTCCTATGGACTCTCTCTCGTCATCTGGGCACTCGCTGGGATATTCTCGCTGTTCGGAGCTTTGTGTTATGCTGAACTGGGAACATCTATTGTTAAATCTGGAGGTTATTATACCTATCTTCTGGAAACATTTGGTGCTTTTGTGGCCTTCATCAGCCTGTGGTGTTACTTGCTAATTACTGAACCAACAACTCAGGCAGTGAGAGCAATCACATTTGCTAACTACATCGTTCAACCAATTTTTCCTGATTGTGAGCTGCCATATGATGCAGTCAGGTTAATTGCAGCTGCTTGTGTTTGTAAGTAAAGTTATGATTCCTAAGAGTTAAGAACTATAATTGCAAGTGCTCTTAGAGATTTTTCTCAATTTCTATTCCTTTGTCTTCTGTGAAAATATTATTGCCTCGATAAAACATGTTCATAGGAACTAGTAATGTTTTATTCAGATGGATTTTATTTGCGACTGTGATTTAGAGGAGAGAGAATTACAGCAGTTTGGCTGGGGAAACCCTGACTGCTGATTAAAGATACATATATCTCTATGGATCATTGGCCTAATTCACAGACCTCTTTCCCCTATTTCTTGCAAATCATAGAAGATGAACAAAAATCTAAAAATTCATATGACATTAGAAATACTCTGCCTAATCTGAGTATTGTCTCTAGAAAAACTGTGCAGTGCAATCAGACACCCTGCAGAGTTGACTTTGGCATGACTGTATGTCTTACGTGAACAAAGAGATAAGCATTGCAAATCTACCCTCTGGTAAATGGACTGCACTCAGATTCTTTTCATGTAAACGTGGATTTGTCAAGATGGAGTATGTGTTCCTTTTATGCTGGGCTATAGCATGATCTTTTAAAAATGGCTTGAATTGTCTAACTCAACAAAGGTATAAGTAATTTTCACTTCAGATAATGTAACATACACTGACTTTTGCCACTGTGATGCAGAGGAAGTTCGCTTCTGAAGAAGACTTCATGCTATATCTTGAGCACATCATGACCAGGCAGCAGTCTAAAAGGCAACTAACCCTATTCCAAAAGGCTTTATCAGCTGAAATTCTCCACTTGCACAGGAAAGCAGTTATTGATCAGATCAAAATTTATTTCCCCAGTATTCTAGGTGCACCTCATGAATCCTAACACTTAAGAGAGGAAGTCTTCAAATGCTGATGTTTCTTTAAGCTTTCATTGTCTTAGTTATTCTTGCTGCAGTCTTCATGTGAATCAGCTACTGGGTGCTTTAGTACCTCTGATTTCTGAGCTGATGCCCCAGGTGGGATGGGCAGCTGCTGCTTTCTCATGCAGCAAAGCAGTTGCCTCACCACTGACCAGGTTTAAAACAAGCATTTTGAGAAACAGCCCAGATTGCTGGGAAAATTATATTTTATTATATTGACTGTGATAAGCAATTTAGCAGTGTCAGGTGGCAAATTCATTATCAGCCTGAACAATATGGAGAAGGCTCAGGAGCATGGATTTAATTGGCACTTCACCAACGTAGTGGAGAGAACTTTTTAAAATGTATAGTTAGTAGAATTTACTGGGAATTCCATGACAAGATCCCACTGCTTCGAATTTAATTAGACTCTGCGGCACATGATACGTGTCCTGCATCATATACACATGCAGTAAACGTATCCTTTCAGTGTTTCAGATAGCACTTTAGAGCATCACCGGTGACTCCTAAATGTTCAGTATTAAAAACTTCGGTCAACACCTACTTTATAATTTTCAAGACATAGGCCTATAATTCTGAGAGCTACTGACACATACTACTGTACTTTAAAGAAAGAGGTATACACTTAACTTCTACTCAGGAAATTTTTTGAACTATAGAGCATAAAATCTTTTTTCAATATGTATACCACATTTCCTAGAGCAAGGTTTGCATAAGTTATTATTTACAGACATGTTTAAAATTATATTCAAACCTTACACTAGGCATTAACTATCATTATACAACCTTTTTTTAACACCAGAACAAAACCAAATTCTGTGCCCATTGCAAAATATTGTTATATTAATAGGAAATAGGGGGGCAAATCAGGTCCCGTTTCAGTAAAGAGGTCTATTATTACCCTGACAGCCAACAGGATACACTGTCAAGTAATGCAGAGCCACTGGTGATAATGAAGTCAAGAAGTTCTGCTGTGAGCATCTGTGATTGGATGCTAATTTCCTTGCTATATAGAAAGATTTCTAAATGGTTTTTGGTTTAAGCTTTATAAAACCCTTTTTCTTCCTTTCAAAACTGCAGTGTAGATTATAGGCAGGTCAAAGAAACAGAAGGAAAGATGAACAAGACTGCTAGAGAAGAAATAGTCTGTTCTGGTCCATGCTTGAGAGCACTCTGGACCAGCTAGGCCGCATTTGGCCAGATGTCTTCTGCAGCAGCTGGGCTTTACACCTGATACCAATGATACCTTGTCAAAAGGCCCCATCCAGCTTTCTGGTAGGCCCCCTTTAGGTACTGGAAGGCTGTTAGGGCTCCCCAGAGCCTTCTCTTCTCCAAGCTGAACAATCCCAGCTCTCTCAGCCTGTCTTCATAGGAGAGGTGCTCTAGCCTTCTGATCATCTTCATGATCCTCCTCTGGACTTGCTCCAAAAAGGCCATGTCCTTCTTGTGTTGGAGACTCCAGAGTTAAATGCAGTATTCCAGGTGGGGTCTCTTGAGAGCAGAGGGGCAGAATCACCTCCCTCGACCTGCTGGCCACACTTCTTTTGATGCAGCCCAGGATACGGTTGTCTTTCTGGGCTGCAAGTGTACATTGTCAGCTCACATTTAGCTTCTTATCAACCAGCACCCCCAAGTCCTTCTCCAGAGTGCTGCTCTCAATCTATTCTCTACCCAGCCTGTGCTCGTGCTTTGGGTTGCCCGACTCATGTGCAGGACCTTGCAGTTGGCCTTTTCTTGAACAGAAAGGAGTAGTAATTGATCCCACTCACTCTCTGCAACCACAGTACTTTGTTATTTCTATTAGATTCTATTAAAATTAACGCTTGAGAGAACTCTATAAGTAAGTATTTCTGTAGTGTTCAGAATTAGGGTCAGGTGTGAATGGCACAGCACCTAAGCCATGGTCACAGAGTAATGGCATGCTGGCCTGGCTCAATTCAATATCTTGTCAACCACATCCAAGCTTTTTGGTGCAGAAGCTGTCCTTACTCTGTACGTAGAATAGAGCTCAAATCAGCAGGGAGACCTCAGGGAAAAATTCAGAGTAAATAAATGATTTAGAGAAATCTCTTCTTCTTCATGTGACTAACTGCTGATTTTAATAAATTTTAAAAATTATTTAAAAGGAGTAGAAGTTAGTCCTAAAATTCAAAATCTGATGTGTCTTTTCTTACCTACTGTCATGAAAGGATTATCGTACAAAAAAATCTTATGTAACTTTTAAATCAAGTATTTCACTCATTGTAATAAATCTATGTGGTCCTGAACTGGTGAAATTTGATTTTGCTTAATTTTTAAAAGAAGGGTAATCTCTGGAAGGATGTATTTGAAAAGTGGTGTAAAATTGTTGTAAAATATCAGTGCTCCTTTCATTCATATTCTTTTTCTCTACAGGTTCCCTAACATTTATGAATTGTGTTAATGTGAGGTGGGGAAGCTGTGTACAAGGTTTGTTCACATTTGTGAAAGTTATGGGTCTTATCTTGGTGATAGTTGTTGGCCTTTACAAAATCGCTAAAGGTAAGAATATTTTTCATTTACTTAAATTCTTCAAAATGAAACACATATGAGTTTCAAAATGTGTGCAGGAAAATTAGACATCTTAAGACTTAAATGTGAAGTGTTATTTATTCTGGAAAAAAATGTCTGCCTTAGGAACAACTGAGGACTTTCATGGCTTGTTAAGCAATGGGAGTTCAATTATTCTTCTACCCGTAGTGTGACAAACCAACACATACCAAGTTCTGCATTTCTTGGGCTGAACAGCAAACAGCAGCTGAATTAACATCAGTTTAGTGCTAACAAGTGTCAAGTCAGCCTCAGTGTCTCTGAGTAATTCCTGTTAAAGGTTAGCCTTGCCACTAGTCCTATGACAGGACAGCACAGCAAAAATTGCTGGACGCATCCTTCACATCGCTCCTCAGCCCCTGCTCTCCCTGCCCAACCCGTGGCCACGAGTGGCCGCAGCACCTTGCAAGGGAAGAGGGTCGGGGAGGGAGGAACTTGTCTTTTCCTTCCTTGGTGAGAGGGCGAACTTGTTGAAACAAGGGAAAAGACTATAACACTGCAGTCTTATGAATCACTGTGGTATCATAAGACATCACAGGACAGATGAGCCACCTCCTATGAGCAGTAACCGGTCTGAACTGAACACACTGAAAAGCTGGAGACTAGTTTATTCCAGTGCAACCTCTGGTCTTTTGCAAATGACAATAGATTTAATTTTCTTAATTTGGGCCTCTGGTACAGTGAAATCTCTTCCAAGTCTAGCTCTGTTGTTTAGTTTCTAAGGTTTCCTCTATTTCCTTTCCCATGAAATTCCTAAATAGCCATTGTATCTTTCTTCGGTTGAAATAAAGATGGTTTCCCCTCTTCAGTTTAGGAATTGCCTTAACCTAATGAGTGTGCTTGCTTTTCCATGGTTGCTGGCCTCCTCCTTTCCTTGGCTGCAGTTGCATCAGCTGTTACACTGTCAGCTGTCCCACTGTAAAGCTACACCAGACTTTAAGAGAGCTTTTCCCTTTAGCCATTATCTAGCATGTCAGTTGCCACTGATTTGTTCTAGTCTAAAGAAACCTGAACAAATGAACCCAGTCCTAAGGGCAGGAATGTGAAGATGCAGAGGAAAAGTTTTGCTTAAGGGCCACAGTAACATGAAGGAGTAGCTCTCCTCATAAAGCTGCTGCGTTTTTACAAAGGTGTGAGTCCATGATGTCACCCCTATAGCAGATTTGCCCTGTCCCCACAGTTACAAATTTACTCATGCTTTCAAATCATCACCTTCAAAACTCCCAGCCCGCTCGCTGCCGTGCAGCTGCCACGATGCAGCTTGGCCCAGGGGCCCTTCCCTCTGCTTGTGCTTCCACTTAACCCACGAGGGGTCCTTGGCCTTGCTCCACAGGGTCAGGGAGGGTAAGGGTGGAGAGGAGACATTATTGTGAGGAACACAAAATGTTGAGGGCTTTTAGTGGATGTTAAAGGTCTTGTCTCTGCTTTGTTTAAGCAGAACCGAGCCCTTAAATACAGAAAGGACTGGGAGGAGGAATGTCGTAGACTTCTGGAGGAAGCTGTGATCTGGTCAATGTAGTCTTTTAAACTCAGCAGCTGCTTTAATGAAAAGAATGGTTATGATGTTCTAGCCGTGCCGTATTCCATCAGATATGCCCAAATACACCTCTTGTTTTAAATCACTATGGATGTATCTGATTTTGAATATGTGCTGTCTTCAGTAAAAAAAACCCCAGACTTTTCTTGGTCCTTTTGGATTTTTCTTGTTTTTCCATCCAATCATTTTCTTCCTCAATGTGTATGCACATCTTGTAGCTTCAGCTTCCACAGTTCAAGCAGTCTCCTGGTAGTTACTGCTCTTCAGAGATCAAATTGCTTTTGTAGTATCTATAATCTCCTTAGTTTAACCATAGGGTGAAATTGTTTTATTTTATAACAAAGACCTCTCTTTCTTTCTTTCCTAATAGAGATTTCAGCATGTTTCTGTCTTCCTTAATACTTAAACCCACTTTCATTTATATTAGATACTTGATTTTCCTTCTGCAAACTCAGGGCCTTTCTTCTCCTTTTCCAGAATTGCACTGAATTCTCATGCAGTTTCATTAATTTTTCATTCATTTTGCAGTATTCTGCTGGTTTTCATCTCAACCGATTGAGCTCAACTAGAGGAGAATTTAAAAGGAAAGAGTTTTCAAGTCTCCTCCTTTAATTTTGGGGAACATCTTTGTGTGGCAGAATGTTCTACCGAGAACCATGACTCCAAGAGTTCCCCCTCCCTGGCCACTAATTCATCTGTGAAATCACACATATGAGGAAGAAATATCGGATAGATTCAGGAATTGGAATTGGTTTTCCCAGGTGCGTCTGCCTGGCTGACAGGACATAGCATGACTTCAGTACGGCTCCCTCCTTCAGTAGGCTAGATGGCAATGCCAGGAGATGAGGACACAATGAATTCTAGCGGAATTACACAAGCCACACAAATAACTAACAAAGGAAAATGTCTTCTGCTATTTCTCTGTACTAGTGCAGCTGTCTGAATATCTGATCAAATTTTCTTGTTTTTCGAGTGAAAATGTAAGTTGTGCACTTTTAGAAATAGTAATGAAACCTGGATGCAGCGGGGTTTTATTTCCTTTTGGTTACCTGAGAGTGTCCTTCTATGTTGCAGTCTTTGAAACCTAACAGGCAATTGGTACCTGCCATTTGTACAGGAGAAACGGAAAACCTGAGAGCTCCGTTCCAGGGCTCAACAACAAACCTGGGGAGCATCGTGCTTGCTTTCTACTTTGCCCTCTTCTCCTACAGGGGATGGGACATACTCAACTATGTCACTGAAGATATGCAGAATCCTGAGAGGTAAACACATGCTTTTTCTTTGAATCATGGGAGCGTCCTGATAAGACAGGTGATGGCAGGACAAGCTGCTCTGTATTTGTTTCTGATTGGAAATCAGTCAGATGATTATTTTCTCTGCAAAATTGTTCTTCTTTTCAAAAGAAGAATTATGAGAACTCTTTCTGATTATTGTCCTCACTCACTAATTGTATTGTGCTAATGAATCCCTTCTCTGCATATATGTATTTCACACCTTGCCCTTCAGACCAGAATTTTTAAAGAAGAACAAATCCCTGCTGAAAGCAGGGAAAAACATGGGTCTGTCTAGCCCTCTGAAATGCCCTACTTCTGAGTCAGAGAGAACAATTATTTTATTTTTCCAGGACTGGTTTTGCCACCAGTAGAGTCATACTGTGTCAGGTTTATGACTGTTTTATCATGCGATATTCAGCATTACTGTTTGTAATGTTAATTTTACTAAAGATTGAGTGAATAACTGAAAATCAAAAAGTGCACAGTGCACTGGAAATGTCATCTTCTCCCCTCAGTAAGAATGTCAACCCTGTTGGAGTGTTGTGCTTTCCCTATTCAGACTGATATAATCCACCTTGTCTTGGGATATGTGTAGGTTATGAGTCAAGAAAAAAATACTGCGTTCAAGAAAACACCTAAGTGTGCATTTAAATCTCATTGCTAAAATGTTTTCTTAATGTTTCTTAAATTGTATCCTATAAAAAAATATATCCTAACCCTAAAAAAAAAATATCCTAACCCTAAAATTTACAGGTAGAAATGTAGGTTTTTTTCTCTAAAACTTGTGACAGACTGTCACGCGCCGGTCATAGACCGGAGAAAAGTTTTGCTTGTATTCTTTGGAACAGAATTAAGACTCAAAATGGAGTCAAGCGCCAGGTAGCTCTATTTGCCCGATGAGTTCACAAATGCAGAGGAAAGAGAGAGAGAAAAAGAAAGGAAAGAAAGAGTTAGTTGCAATAGCTACCACCACAGAGCTGTGGTGTCTAGACAGTCTGATTCGTCTTCAAGGCTGGTGGGGGAATGTTCCATCTGATGCTGGTCATTTTTGATCTCTTATTGGGATTATTCTTCTTCCAAGAATCACTTAGTATATTCCAAAAGCTGTTTTGCTTAACCACACCCACCATTTAGCAATGGTATGCATGCCCAGTACCATCACTAGGGGGTCTTCACGGGTCTCCAGGCCCTTCTGTCCTCCAGGCCCCAAGTCTGGGCGCATGCATGTGTGGATTCATAGAATCATAGAATGGTTTTGGTTGGAAGGGATCTCAAAGATCATCTAGTTCCAACCCCCCTGCCATGGGCAGGGACACCTTCCACTACACCAAGTTGCCCAAAGTCTCATCCAACCTGGTCTTGAACACTTCCAAGGGTGGGGCATCTCCGACTTCTCTGGGCAACCTGTTCCAGTGACTCACCACCCTCAGAGTGAAAAATTTCTATCTTATATCCAATCTAAATCTACCCTCTTTCAGTTCAAATCCACTGCCCCTTGTCCTATCACTACATACCCTTGTAAAAAGTCCCTCCCCAGCTTTCCTTTAGGCCCCCTTTAAGTACTTTAAGTTCTTTTTGTGTCCAAGTTGGTCCAGGAGCTCCTTGTTCATCCATGCAGGCCTCCTGGTGTTTCTACCTGACTTCCTCTTTGTTGGGATGCACCTCTCCTGAGCTTGGAGGAGGTGATCCTTGAATATTATCAAGCTTTCTTAGGCCTCTCTTCCCTCCAGGACTTCATCCCATTGTCCTCTACCAAGGAGATCCCTGAAGAGTCCGAAATCTGCTCTCCTGAAATCCAGGGTAGTGAGCTTACTGAGTACCCTCTTGCTTCCCTAAGAATCTTGAACTCCACCATTTCATGATCACTGCAGCCAAGGCTGTCCTTGAGCATCACTTTCCCCACCAGTCCCTCTTTGTTGGTGAGAACAAGGTCCAGCAAAGCACCTCTCCTCATTGGTTCCTCTACCACTTGGAGAAGGAAGTTATCATCCATGCATTTCAGGGACCTCCTGGATTGCCTATGCCCTGCGTGTTGTCCCTCCAACAGATATTGGGGTGGTTGAAGTCCCCCATGAGGACCAGGGCTCGTGAACGTCAGGCTGCTCCTATCTGTCTGTAGAGGGCCTCATCCATTCGATTCTCCTGGTCAGGTGGCCTGTAGCAGACTCCCACTACTATATCCCCTGTCCCTGCCCTCCCTTTAATCCTGATCCACAAGCTCTCAGTTGGCTCTTCATTGGTCCCCAGGTGCAGCTGCATGCACTCCAGCTGGTCTCTGACATAGAGGGCAACCCCTCCTCCTCTTCTCCCCTGCCTATACTTCCTAAAGAGCTTGTATCCTTCCATTCTGACACTCCAGTCAAAGGATGCATCTCACCATGTCTCCGTGATGCCAATAAGATCATATCCCTGCAGGCGTGCATGCACCTCTAACTCTTTTTGCTTATTCCCCATGCTACGTGCATTAGAATAGAGGCATTTAAGTTGGACCCTATGGATCTAACTTCCTAGCTGGAATTCCTTTCTGCTGATCTTCAGGTGCTCCCAGCAGATCAAGCTTGGTATTATCCCCCTCTTGATATTATCCCCCTTCCCCTTTGAATCTAGTTTAAAGCCCTGTAAATGAGCCCCGGTAGCTGTTGCACTAAGATCTTTGATCCATTTTGGGAAAGGCAAGTCCCATCCGGTGCCAGCAGCCTGATGCCATGTGGCCCATCCGATTGTCAAAAAAGCCAAAATTGTGGCGATGACACCAGCCATGGAGACACATATTAATCGATTGGATGCATTTGCTTCTTCCAGTGTCACTGTTTGCAACTGGAAGGATAGAAGAAAAGATAACCTGTGCCCCAGATCCTCTTAACAGCTGTCCCAGGGTCCTGAAATCTCTCTTGATCGACCGTGGACTCCGTGTTTCAGGTTCATCACCACCCGCATGGAAGAGCAATAATGCATAGTAGTCTGTGGGCCGTACCAGGCTAGGAAGTTTCCTAGCGATGTCTTTAACCTGGGCTCCAGGGAGGCAGCAGACTTCCCTCAGAGCAGGGTCAGCCCGGCATATCACCCTTCTTTTCTTCCCTGTGGAGGCGGTCTTGATACAACGGGTAGCCCTCTCTGACCCTGGTGACACCTTCAGTGCAGATGGTCCCTCAGCCACATCATCCATCGATGGGCCTTCTACCTCCAGAGCCTCCTCCTACCTATTGTGCAGGGGCACCCGGGGAGCTGAGATAGGCAAGGAGCAGGGGGGTTGCCTGTTTCCCCAAGCATGTACTTGTTTCCTTTCGTCGCTTACCTTTGAGTTACTGTCCTCTGCCTTGTGGGATGAGGAACCAGAATCTCCTTAATTTTGGGTTTTCTTTTGTGGCTCTTCCTGTTTTTGCCTCAGGTCAGGCAGTGCCCGACACCACCGATCTCTCTCTTTCTCAGACTCTCTGATGTTCCTCAACCTTTCTACTTCCTCCCGCAGCTCTGTGATCATGATGAGCAGATCATCCACCTAGTCGCACCTCACACAGCTGTGTTAGGATTAGGTGGATTAGGATAAGATTAAATTTCTTAGAATCTGCTCCACCTTCAGGTTCATAAGAAGACAGGCAGTCTGACTGTTGCTTCATTGATATGGCAGTGGTGTCAGTTGGCGATTTTTCATTCCAGCAACACGCGATGGTGAGACAAACATTATGTCAGTTGGCAGGTTTTTGTTACATCAATGTTGAGACAAATGTCTGATACAGTCCCTACAGGTCCCTGCAGGTCCACAGACCTACAAGTAGTCAACTAAGCTGCTTATCGAATTGTTCTACATGTTGGTTCCTCTTTATTATGTAATGGCACAATAACAAAATGACAGATTGCAAAAAATGATGGAGTGGAATGTTTAAACAATCTTCTGTTTACATTTTCCGTATTCAAAAGACATGAAATCTTGTTGCCATTTTCCTTTTGCAGGAATCTACCTCTTTCTATTACAATTTCAGTGCCTATTGTGACTATTATTTACTTGCTGACTAATACAGCGTACTATGTCGTGTTGGACATGTCAACTCTCCTCACAAGTGAGGTGGTGCCTGTGGTAAGTTGTTTAAAATGATTAAAACAAAAGTAACTGTACAGATGACACTGTGGAAGAATCTCAGGTAGCATATTCCTTGGCAAAACAATTGAAATATGTCCATGCTGAAGGTTTTACCTATATTTTAAACTTTGTTTTCATGTAAGAGTACCAGTATATTAAGAAGATTCATATAAAGTACATATCCAATAAATCTACTCTTATAAAATTCTCTTATATACTCAGTAAATCCTGCTCCTAACAATATTTCATTGTAGAAGATGCTTTCACCAGGGCCAGACAGAGAAAAAGCTGTGGAAAGTCTGAGTGATTTAAGAACCAGGGGCTTTTACTATCATTCTAACGTACAGTGTGTAATGTTTAATGCTGCAGGATTACAGCAATATTTTCAACACACAACTATGCAATAAGATGCATTTTGAAACCTTCTCAATATTTTTATAAAAGTACAATTATAACTCATAGATTACTGCAGTCAAGACTTGTTTGAATACATTAAAGCCAATACACCTTCATCTGTTATCTCAATGACTTGAAGTAGGCTTAGAAAAAAACCCAAAACTTTTTTTAAAGTATCTGTCATTTTTATTTTGATACTGATCAGTCTTTCTGAATTCTAATTTTTCAAGTCATTATCAGTGTCACAGGAAGATATGGGCCATGACGCTGTATTTGGGCTAGTGTATTTTCATGAAAGTTTCTCAGAATTGTCCATATGCTTAATGTAATGAGCCTCACTAATATTTTCTTTTTCTGTTACAGACGTTTGGCAATGAAGTCCTTGGTTATGCTAAGTGGATAATTCCTATAGCAGTGGCCATGTCTTGCTACAGTGGGTTAAACTCATCAATAATTGCAACATCCAGGTATGAAATACAAGATTCGCGTAAAATAATTGAAGATCAATCATTTATTATTAACCTGCATTCTTTACTACTACATCATAAAAGTGACACAGTTCATTTTTACCATGTTAAATCGTTCATTTATAATGGAAGGATTGTTAAAATCTGACATGTCGTCTTCTCATGGTCAGCACCTTTGGTAACCTGAAGGCACTTGAGAAGAGAGCAGCATTTACAATAGAGAAATAAACTAATTAATGCGGCGCTATTCCTTCGCTCACTGTCTGGTTGAGTTATTTTATTCTTTTTTTTAGGCTTTTTTATGTTGGTGCCAGGGAAGGACACCTCCCTGAGAGCCTGAGATTGATTCATGTAAAGCACTTCACACCAGTCCCTGCTCTCCTCTTCAACGTAAGTGACCACCCGGCCCCGTGCCTGCCCTGGGCAGCTGGGGACTCGGACACGGGGAGTGCAGCACCTCGCCTCTGCCCAGCCTCTCTCCTGGGCGTTTCCTGCGATGGAGACATCTTCCTCACATGCCCACAATTTCTAAATCTCATTGGGAGGGAGGGGTGGTGTTATTTTGTCTGGTTGGGGTTTTTTACAGTGAAAAGAGAATGGCTTGATTCACACGTACATGCTCTCTGAACAACATTAGTCAGAATGAAGTATAAAATCATCAGTTAGAAAACAGAATGACTAAACATGTAACAGTATAGACCAGAGTTGATTACGTCTTTATGAGAGTTTTCAGAGTGTCCATTGGAGAAGAATGTGTCAGGAATATCTCTTAGACCCTCCCATAGGCTGATTTTCCAGGACTCTAGTTATAACAGGAGTGCTAAAGCATTTAAAATTAAGCTTCTACTGTACTGATTTTTTCCTGCTGTCACATACAAATGAATCTTGTGGCTCAAAATCAAGGAAGTGTAAGGTACAGAATTAGTGTAAATTATTTTAATAAATAAGCCATAAATTTAACAGATTAAAATAAGACAGAGAATATGTACACACAGAGAAGGTGAAATCATTCAAAAGAATTTTAATGCTCTTTATCTCAACATGTATTTTATGTGATGTCTCCCATGGCCCTGTGTTGCAGAAGGTGTATGAATAGATTATCTTACTGGTCCTGTTTGACATCACATAATTTACTACAGGTTATCATCTTTTTACAAGGGCGTGTAGTGATAGGACAAGGGGCAATGGATTTAAACTGAAAGAGGGCAGATTTAGATTGGATATAATGAAGATATTTTTCACTCAGAGAGTGGTGAGGCAGTGGAACAGATTGCCCAGAGAAGTTGTAGATGCCCCATCCCTGGAAGTGTTCAAGGCCAGGTTGGATGAGGTTTTGAGCAACCTGGTGTAGTGGAGGGTTTCCCTGCCCATGGCAGGGGGGTTGGAACTAGATAATCTTTGAGGTCCCTTCCAACTCTAATCATTCTATGATTCTATGATTCTATGATCTCTTTATGAATACTCTTCTCAGAGGGATTCTGTTTGCACCTGTAAAATGAGCTATACTCCCTTGTACTGGTTTTAGCTGGGACAGAGTTAACTCTTCTTTTTAGCAGATAGAAGAGCTCCGTGTTTTGGTTTTACTCAGAGGTTCGCTCTGAGAAGAATGTTGATAGCAAGCTGAGGTTTGTGATTGGACATGAAACTCCAAGGACTTTTCAGTGTGCCGTGTTCTGGCTGGAGTGCAGAAGCACGGCGGGTGTCATGGGTTACACTGATTCGGCAACTAAACT